CTTGGAAATCAAATTCCAGACACAATGTCAACTTCTGTTTTTTACCTGTCTCATCACCGGATCCGATAATATGTTCTGAACTTCTGGATCTTGCATTGCCTTTGCTTGTCTCTCCTTCAATTCTTCTGGAGTCAGATCACCACGGTTCGCTTTGTTTAACTGTTCTACACATCTGAAGAGATAACATAGCAAACAACACTTTCACTAAACCGACCTTCGCGGACTATAACAACATAGAGAAGTAGAAAACTTTTGCAAACCTTCTAACACCATCAAGCAACTCTTGGTTCTTAGGATCATGTTTCAGCCCTTCTTGATATGTCTCCATGGCTTTGTCATATTCCTTCATGAAAAACTGAATAGCTCCTTTCCTGCTGTATCCTTTGGTGAAAGTCGAGTCTAGCTCGATGCATTTCTCAGCATCTTTCAATCCCTCTGGTAATGCTCCTAGCTTTGTGTAACAAGCAGCTCTGTTGCTGTACGCCTATAAACCGAAAAGGAAAACTCACTAAGACCCCATCTTTTTTTTCTCAAACTATATGTTTTAGCTCAACAATTAAACAGAGATAATTATCTTACCCTCACGTCATTCGGGTTCCTTTTGATTGCTTCTGAATAATGCTTCACTGCCTCTGGATACTTCTGCTCTTTAAAGAATTCATTACCTGCGCCAAATCAAAGTCAGCAGAGGAATGTCAAATGCAAAAACCGTTATACCAAATGGCGTTGTAAGATAGTAACCAAAGGTCGCGGTCAATACCTTTCTCACGCTCCTCCTCAGCTATCTTTGGATCAAAGTACTCTTGCTGTTCCAGATCTTTCTTGGCTTTCTCAGCATCGTTCAGTTTCTTCAAAGTATCTGGATTACGATGCTCTGTAAGAGCTTTCTGGAAAGTCTCGATCGCAGGTTCGAAGTCTTTCGAGCATTTCGCCATTTTCACCAGCGCAGATCCTTTTCTAGTAAGAGCTCTTGCTATCATCTTAAAGTCAGAACGAAGCTCTCTCCCTCTTTCAACAGCCTTGTCACAGTCCTCAATGCACTCCTCATACTGACATTCATTTAAAGAAATTCACATTTCGTAAAAAGGCACCCAAAGATTATGTAAAATATGTGTAAGATCCAACATGAACCAACTTCTTGATCAAAACTAGACTAATGCAATGCACGAACACATAAAACAAGTATAATGAATCACCTGGGACATCTACAAATTGATGTACTCTTAAGTAAAGATATAG